TCCTTGGATTGTCTCTCTCTCCAACGGGCCAATGTCAAGCATCCTCTCTTTGAGTTTGGAAGATTTTAGTTCTCCCATTCTCCAATTTCCTCAACAATTTTTCGTCATTTTTTTCTAATTCCACCCCATTTGGATTGCCTCCAACAGCATGCCCAAATACGAAATGTTTAGACAACTTGAGGAACAACCTAAACTGGTACCCAGGGTACCCACTCCCTCTATGTTGATATTAATTCCACAAGTAACCATTTTCGCCGTATTCACCCTCAAACCTGATGCCACCTCAAACAACCTAGACCCAACTAAATATCCAAGTTCAGTAAAAATGAAATTTCCCCAAGAACAAATAATGTCAACATTAATTTCATCCTATGACACTGGATCTTATGCACAAGACTTCCATGAAATCAAAAGTTTAAGTTGGACCAAAATAATCCAAAACCAAGAACAAGTTGGCAACCAACCAGGAACGCCAAAGCCTTAGTTATGAAATAAACAAACAATACATGTCAAATGTTCATGTAAAAAGAGAAAAAAGATTTTAGTCACCAGCAGCAGGTTGGGGAATAATGCTGACATCTTCCATGATCCCCATGGTTAAGACAGTCTCTGCATCTCTTTTGCCTTGAAACATACTGTAGACCTGCAATATATTACTACAAGCTTCAATCAGAGTGTATCCACGTTAAAAATCTTTAAATGGAAGATTACATATTATTGAGAAACCATCACATTCAAGCTCAAGTGCATCATCCATTAATGTAAACACCATTATGCTAATAATATAAAGTATACATCTGAAAGCTATAAAGAGAACATGCATACACAGACACACGTTTCACCATTTTCTTTGTGTGTAAAAAACAAGAGTCTTTATAAATACCAAAAAAAAAGAACACAGAAGGCAGATAAGAGATCCACCATGCTAACCAAAACGCTAATCTAAGAGAACTCTCAATCTTCCCCCACAAAAACCTGACTACTTTTTGTTTTTTATATAAGAAAAAACCTGACTACTTTCTAGCCACGACTCTCATGTAATGGTTTACACCGATCAAAGAGGTGAAGAAATTGATCATATTCTATAACTAACAGTTAGACACATCACACATGCACCAAATACCTGTCCTTTCTTGGTAGTAAGTTGCCGGAGTATTGTGTCAGGTCTTGTGTTTCCTGAAATTGGCTCCCCACTGAATATAATGACCAGTCAAAAAACTACGAAATACAAACTTTGAAAAGATATAAAGACCATGTCACATTAGCATGTACATGTGAGGTTGTGCTGCTGCAGTGTGCATTAACGTATCATGGTTATTAGCATGCCAATTTTGATTATGCAAAAGACAAATTCTTACGTCTTTTTGTCAAGAAATCGGATGGAAATGTTATTTACTTCAGCTTCAGAAACTTGCAAACTAAGAATGCCTCCAGATAGAATATCTACAGCTGATACCTGTATTATATAGTCAAAGCAGCAACATATGTGAACAATAATGATCATGAAACAATCACGCCTAAAGCCTGCAATGTGTAAAATCCCTTCAAGGCATAAACAAACTAACTTTCAACTTAAACTAACACATGAAATTGTAAAAGAACATAGATAAAGAACTAACCCTGCCAAAAAGGCCTCGTTCACCATACCAGCTATTGATGGATGATATTACTTCATCTAAATGCCTGAGATTGACAACTTTTCCTGCACAGCTTGACACCAAAGATCCAAAATAGTGGTCTTCTATGAGCATATTTTACATCGGTTCATAGACTGTTATAATCTAAAATAATAATGTAAGAAATCCTACCATAGCCATCACGAAAAGCTTCCTCCAGAAACTTTGCGGGAAGGACATTAGCACCTTCACATACCAGCCCCTGAAACTCTTGGTTTGGTTCTACCTTGTGCCATTACAAAATAACATTAATCAATACTCTCTTAAAAAATGTAAGAAGGAACTAGTTCATAACAATTAATTTCCGCAGTGGAAAGTTCACTGATCACTTAAATGTTCTCTCACTCTGCTGTAGCTTCAAAAGAGGGTTCCTAGACATTTCTTATTTTTTCAAACTTGCATGTGCATAATTTGTTTTCACAACTCCCAAGTGAGTTGTATATAAGATCAAACATATAAAATAAAATTCGTTTTTTTTTTATAAGAAGACTATAAAATAAACATGATAAACTCAAAGTTCAACCTATTACATAACATCTTACATTAAAACTTATAGGTTGTTTCAAATTTCATCCCAGCTCGCCTTTCACTTAACACAAATCACTCCACGTCTTCCACCAGTATTAAGACTAATAGTCTTAGTCTCTCACACATAAAATCCTTCCCAATGGAAAAAATAAGCCAAGGAGAATTATTGTCATATTCCACTCCTTCCGGATCCTTTCCTCAAATTCTATTGTGATAAAACGCACAAACAAGTTCAAGCTGAACGACATTTATACCTGAAATATTAATCTTATTCCATCTCTGGTATCAACTGCAACCGGTATGCACGAGTAGAAATACCCACTATTGATAATCCTGTGCACATCTTCTTGAACCTCGCGCACAGTGAGCGCAGAGTTGGGTCTGCTCGCCTTCAAGGCAGTCAAAACTTCCATCTCGAGGTCCTTCCTCTCTAGCTCCTCACCGTCCTTATTTCTCACGAGAACCTCACTGATTAGCACTCTCTCCTCATCCGGCCGACCAGCTGAATACCCCTTTTGAGGCGATTCCTTACTCTCCGAACCACTAGGCTGACTCGCCTCGTCAGACCGAGCCAAAGCCAATGAAGCTGAGCAAAGAAGAGATGATTTTCCAACCAACCCCGTACTTTTGTCATCCATCCCCCGTTGCCGGCCTGAATGCTCCGCTCGAGTTCCAGACTCAGCCTTATTCGATCCGTCAGATTGAATTAGCGACAATGACGCCGAACAAATTAGACTAGATTTATCAACAAACATTGCCCCACAACTCCCGCTTGCCCATCGACTAACCGAATTTCCTCGCTGAGTTATCTTCTTGGAACCCCAAAAGGGAAGCGATGGTGGCCAGAAATGGGGAATACTGTGGTTGAAATTAGTGAATTTCGACCCTCTCTTAACCGAATCAATGAACTGAAAAATTGAGTGACAGGATTGATCGAACTGCGAAGCCATATTTCTGAAACAGAATCTGAAAGAAGAATGTGAGTTAGGCGGAGGAAGGTGTGGAACTCTAAGCGTAGCGCGCGAAGTAAAAACAATGTCATCGTTCGGTGGCATCTTGGCGGACTGATCGGATGAACGAGAAATGAGGTTCGAATTCCGCAAAATGGAATCTCCAAATCCTTGCCTTGCCTAGACTTGAGAAGCAATCACTTGAATTTGAGGAATTGAATATAGGGTTTTGAACAAGGGGGAAAGAGCGGCATAAACCCCAGCAGAAAACCCGCGGGATGATCGAACTGGAACTGATGAGTGCCCTCTGCCCCGGGTGGTCCGAAACGATTTTGCGGTTTTTGAATTCGAGTCGGTTCACGAAACGAACCGTTTACCCGACTCGTACCCGACAATATGTTTGGGCCACGATGTGTAAATGCCCCAATGGGCCTTTTGAAGGAAGCCTTTTCGATCATAGCCCAGTTGGAGTTTGAACTTTGAAAAAGGCGAAAATATAAGGAAAAAAATAAAATAAAATTAAAGTTTAGAGGCCTAAGCTTTTAAAATATTTAATAAAAACATTGAATAGTAAAATAGTAAAAAAAAAAAAAAAAAAAGGGAAA